AATACGAGCTATACATTGACAACTCCGAATTTTCTACTTCCAGCCCAGATCTTTCTCACAAACTCCAGACTTGAACACCCACCTCCCCTCGAACGTCTCCACTTGGATGTCTGATAGTCATCTCGAGCTGAGGGTGCCTAAAATGGAGCTCCTGATCTTCCCCCCTCAAGCCCCCCACAGCCCTACCCTTACTCCATCCTTCCAGTTGCCCATGTCAACCTTTTCAAGTCATCCATAATGCTTCTCTCTCAGCCCCAGGGCATCAGAAAATATTGTTAACTCTGCCTTCAAGACACGCCCCAAATCCAACCACTTCTCACCACTGCCGACTGCTCCCGCGCTGGCTCGAGCCACCATCAGCCCTCACCTGGACGGCTGAGGGAGCCTCCTATCAGAGCTCCCCGCTCCCACCATAGTCCCCCATAGTCTGTTCCCAACACAGGAGCCAGAGGGTCGTTTAAAAGGACCTAAGTCAGACCATGCCGCTGTTCTGCTCAAAACCCTCCACTGGCTCCCCCATTTCACGCAAAGCCAAAGTCAAGGTTCTTTAATGGCACAAGGTCTTGCATGATTGACACCTGTCCTAGATCCCTCTGCCCCTGCTCCCTCCACTCCAGCCACCACACCGTTGCCTGCAGGCCTTTGCACTGGCTGTTCCACTGCCTGAGATGTCTTCCACCACATACTCACCCAGCTAACTCCCTCAACTCCTTCCAAGCCTCAGTCAAACATCACCTTCTCAGAGACATCTCTGCTGAGCGCCCTACTTAATCCTACAACAGTGTCCCCATTTCCACACTCCCAACCTCCCTTCCATGCTCCAGTTTTCTTTTTCAATCCCCCTTATCACCTTCTAACCTTCTGTATCGATACTCAGTTATTATGCTTCTTGATTATGGCCTCTCTCTCCCTGGAGAGAATGTAAACATCATGAGGGCAGAGATCTTGGCCCATTTCATTCAGTGGTTTATCTCAAGGGCCTGCTACTGTGCCTGGCAGAGAGGATTTTTCTTAAACGAATGAAAGACTAAAAGAATGGCCAGGAGCATGATCCCGGGGCTTCTCTTCCTGCTCCAAGTGAAGGCCTTGCCAGGGTCAAGGTGTTCTGTGAACCCAGGAGAAAAGAAAACAAGACCCAGGTCCTGCTAAGGGCTCACAGGCCACATAGGGTTGTGAACACTCCAGGCACTTTGAGGTGGGCTGGGCTGGGGGCTGTGGATACATCTTGGCCAGTAGCCCCCAAGTCTGGTGGCGACAAAGACCCTGACGAGGGGAATCCTTGTGACATGTAGTGGGTCTGCCAGTTCACAAACGAAACAGAAAACCCAATGTTCTCCCAGCCTGGCTATGGGAGTAGGATTGAGAACAGAATCAAGGAGTCTTGGCTTTTCAGATTTCTGGGTCTTGATTTAAGAAAATGCAATCTAGGAGAAGTAGTACATCACTAAACAGGCTTGTGGGGGCGCTGAGGGATTGCTTTGCAAAAGGATTCATGGTAGATCTACTTTCAACAAAGAGCCCACCCCACCGAAGACCCTAGAAAGCCTGATCCAATTTGCCAGAATCCACGTCACCTCAGAGGCAGCATGATGTAGAGGAAAGAGCAGTGGGTTGGGGGCCAGGAGACCTGGGTTCAGGCATAGCTCTGCCACTCACTTCTGGTGTGACCCTGGGCAAGTCACCGCCTCCACTGGGCCCACATCCTGAGCACTGACCATCTGTCAGGTGAGGCGTTGTAGGCTGAGGATTCAGAGATGATGAGCTACATTACATTGTGCTACAAAGAGACTTCTGGTTAGCAGAGGAGACAGGCACCCAAGTAAACCCTAATGACTACATTCACTGGGCATCTGTGACATGCCGGACACTGCTCTGAGCAGTGTGAACTCATCAATGCCTCTACCACCATCAGATACAAGTGTGTCTCCACTTACAGATGAAGACGTGAGGCACAGAGAGGTTAAGCACCTGCCCAAGGTCTCACTGCCAGCTGGTCTGTCTCTGGAGCCTGTGCTCTTAGGCAAGATGCCATTCTGTCAGAATGGCACAGTAATGAGACTCAGGTGCATGTCGGAGCAAGCACCTGGAGCAGAGGGCACAGCAGGGAGAGAGGGCAGTCAGGGAAGCCTTCTGGGAGCAGAAAGCAGGAGAATGAGCAGGTATTCACCAAGCAGAGAGGACATGGGGAGGCACTTCAGGCAGCAAGAGTGAGGGAGCCGGGGCCAAGAGGCTTCAATCAGCCTGGCAAGTCAGAGCCATCACAAGCAGTGATGGGGCCAGAATGCAGGGCTCAAGAAAGACCCAGAGGAACCTCCAAGGATGAAAGGGAGGGCAGGGGCCCATCAGTGGAAGGTCTGGGAAGTCAGCCACAGAACTTCAATTTTATCCTGGTGTCAATGATTCCCAACCCTGGATACACAGTACAGTCCTGGGAGATTTGAAACATGCCAATGTCTGCTACAAACAATGGCCAATCTAGTAATGGGTACCCCTAGTGCCAAACTGTGGTCTCCAAGTAGCATTTCTCAGTAAAAGGAACCAGGGCTCCTTGGAGAAATGACGGACTCCAGGTTTAGGGCAGGAAACATACAAGATGAGCTCAGAACATCATATCACACCAGACAGCAAGGTGGCTGCCAGTGATTAAGGGTCCTCTCATGAGCTCAGAAGCCAATCTGAAGGGCTCCAGTGGCCAATGATGAGACCATGGAGCACCAATAAGGATAATGACTATCATGCATCAAAACACATTCTTTTTTAAATCCACATGTTTGAAACTCTAACTGGTTATTACTATTGGAGGATGCTAGTGAACCAACTGGGTACTTTGAAAACATAAATACAGGAAAAGAGTCAAGCATTTCCCATATGAACTTTACCACTGGGAAACCAAATAGTAATCGAAAGGACGCGGGAAAGTTAGCAAATGAAGAAAGAATGATAGAGTTAGAATGTCACCATGTTGCAACCCCTAATTAATCAACAGATTTAGGTATTGAATGTCAATGGCTACTACCATCTCAAAAAGAAAGACAACCAGATACCATATAGCCCCTGACAGAAGAATATGAAACTACTTATGAAGTCAGTCCCCACCACCCACTAAAATTGAAACTGAATCTGACCAAGTTTCTAGATCCAATGAGCAATTTACAAGAAACACAGAGGAATCTGTCAGATGACACATGGGAGTGAGAGCGTAAATCAGACTATGGGACGCTCTCCTGCATAAACAAGGGGAGATGTTAAAACACACATCTATAAAAAGCATGAGAAAATCAGAAACTTGAATATTGACTAATATTTGAAGATAGTAAAGAATTTTTTTTAGCTGTGATAACGGTACTGTATTTTTTCTTAAAGAGCCCTTATTGTTTAGAGATGCATACTGAAATGTTCAGAGATGAAATAATAAATGTGAGATCTGCTACAAAATGCTACAAGAGGGGGGATGTGGTGGAACAAGATTGGCCGTGAGTTCGCAATTGTTGAAGTGGGGTGAAGTGTGCCTGGGAGTTCATTATAGTATTCTGTCAATTTCTACTTTTTATAGTTCGAAATTTTCCATAATAAAAAGTTATGAAAACAGTAGGCCCCACCTCCAGAGATTCAAACTAATGAGTCTGGGCTTCAGCTCGGGCACTGGTATTTTTTTAAGGCTCCCCTGGTGTTTCGACTGTTCAGCCAAGGTTGAGAATTGTCGTACCACATATGAGATGTGCAAGAACCTGCTCTAAGACCAAGGCAGAGGCTGAGGAGGTGAGGGAACTGCTCTGGGAGAGACCAAGGAGCCAAGCACAGGGTCCTTGATCAGGAGGGGAGTGGGAGAGGACAGAGACAATGGAAGGATTTCAAGGCTTGGGTGGCTGTGAGGTGCTCGTCCCTGGAACAGAGAATACATCAGAGCTGGTAGCTGTGGGGACCTGGGGGAAGGTGCTGGGTTTGTTTTGCACACGTTGACTTTGAGGGGTCCCATGCAACTTCCTATGGAGACCTTCAGTGGGCAGTTTGTCTTGGTCTAGACATCCACATGGAGACCCTGAAGCAGACACAGAAACTTGGGCCCCAAAGGGCTGTCCCACAAGCCAAGACAGAGGTCGGAATGGCTGCAGCCAATGATGGCATTAGGGCCTGTAGGAAACCACAGCATCTTGGCTCCCTGCCCTGGGAGGGGGAGCCTGGATGACCCCATTCCTTTCATGACTGGTCTCCATTCCTCACCGCCCCACCCCTTGTCCACCTTCCTTTGATAGAAACCCCAAGAGCAGTGAGCCAGGCTGAGGGGCCCTGCCTTCTTGGGCAAGTGCCGAGGGACTCCTGCATCTTCCTACATCCTATCCTAAAAGCCCCTGCAGATCAATCAGCATTTGTTAAACAAATGAACGACCAGTACGTCTGAAGGAAGTCCCCATGGGGTAAGGAAGAGCACGTATGCCAGCAGCCAGTGATGCCAGCAGCTGTCAGCTTGGCTTGAAACAGCCAACACATAGTCATTCCACAAACATCTACTGAATGCCTGTATGCGCCCCATACAGCAGGGGTGAGCCCAGGGTCCTGGCCTCAGGGAGCTTGCATTCTGGCAGAGAAGCAGACAGTAAACAAAGACACACACACAAGCTTTAGAACTTTAGAAAATGGGTTCTCTGCTCAGGAAGGGGTCGTGGAAGCCGAGAACTACCTTGGGGTGCTGGGAAACCTGCCCGACTTCCTCAGGCGCTCCCCTGCATAACAACCCAGGCTCCGGGAATCAGAGAACTGACACAGCCTCACTTTAAAGCAGCAGCAACCGAGGCCCAGAGAGGAAGGTGGCCTAACCATGGTCACCCAGCAGGTGTAGACCTGGAGACAAGTCTGCATTCTCCAAGTCTGCAGTGGAAGTTTCTTAAGCAACCAGTTTATTCTTCACCCTTCTAAACCACATGGTCTGTCTTTTCCTCCAGACGAAAACAATTGCTGATCACAGAGGACCAAAGGGCCTCCTCCCAGAAGCAGGGACTTACCACTGAGTCCAGGAACTGAATGTAACACTCCAGCCCAGGTCTGGTTTCACAGAACTGCCGGAAAAGCAGCCTCCCAATTGGCTGCTTGTCACATAAACTGCAGTAATCTCTTTCTGGAGAGAAGAAGAGAAGAATGTGGTCAGACCCAGGAGAGGGCCAGTCGGGGCGGTCCATCAACCCACACCTGGATCCAGAGCCCCAGATGGATGAAACAAGGTGACTGGCAAACTCTCAGGACCCCTTATTTATTTCCAGGCTCTGCAGACTCAGAGGGGGACCAGGTCAGTGGAGAACAAAGTGCCAGTTATGGCCCAGCCTCTACTCCCCAGCCCACTCCCCCTCCCTTTCCAATGCCCTGATTTCTATATGGAGAGGCCAGCAGTTCCAGAGACTATGACTCCACCCCTTGGCTGGCCAATCAGCATGTCACATTCCCTGATTATGGTGACTGGATAAGGGTGGCAGGCATGTAACCCAAGCCGGTAAAATCAGAGTGAACCACGCTGGGCACGCTGAGCAGAGGTGCTCTCTCTTCTTCTGGATGCTGTGGTGCCTGAGTGAGGTCAGGGTCTGCTGCAGTGTTCTTGACACTGCAAGAGAAGCCGCTGTGAGGATGAGGCTGATACATGGAGGAGTCAGAGCTGGGAAAATTACAAGACGTAAATAGAGTTGGTGATGTGATGAATCTCTGGATCAAACCATGCCTGCAGCCCAAACCACATCTGAAAAGCTTATTTATGAGCTTTGCTTAGGGCAGTATGAAAAGATTTTAAAGTTCCTTGTAATTCAAAGCATGCTAATGGATACAGCAAAAATAATAATAATTTCATTGTTGCCCAGTTGGAGCAAAGCCCAGTCTTAGGATGCTTCAAATTATTAAAACCCTGCATTTCCAAGCTAAGGAGCTATAGGCATGGAGACAGAAAGTGACCAACCCTCAGCCACTCAGTAGCCAAGAGAGTTCTGAAAAGAAATGCAAGGCAAGACTCCAAGCCTGGAGGCCCAGTGACCAGGGTTCTAGCCAATGATTTTCTATGTGACTTCAAGCAACTCACTGACCTCTCTAGGCCTCAGTCTTCCTCTGAAAAATGTAGGCATATGTTGGAGGTAAGATGGAAGGGTCCCTTCTGGCTCTTCCTGCAATGATGCTGAAGCCTCTGCAAGAGGCTTTCTCTGGCCAAAAAGACGCTAAAAGGACTGAGACTCATTGCCTCGAACCCTCTTAAGCACTGCACATTGGCCCTTTGATCCTACGGCTGCACCGGAAATGGTCAAGCGACTTTGTGGGGAAACTAGGAAGAGAGTGAGTTAGTCCTTGGTTAGGAGAGCTACCTAGATGGAAGGAATGACTATACTCTTGCCAAATGTGGAGGAGCCAGGACAATCGTTCCCCTAGAGGGGGTCTCTCTGGAGATACAAAATACAAAAAGGAATTAAAACACAACCATCATGTCAACTCACTTTCATACCCAAAGAGTTCACCCACAGGAGCAGAGCTGTTACCTGTAGGGAGGGTGGAGGCTGTTAGCATGCGTTCTGGAGCTAAACCACCTGGGCTCAAATCCCAGCCTCACCACTCACTGCCTGTGTGACATGGGGCAGCTGACTTGACACTCTTATCCCTCAGTCTCCTCATCTGTGAACCTGAGACAGTAATTGCACCTATCTGCTAGGACTGTCATGAGGATTAAATAAGATAATGCATAGAATGGACTCAGGCCAGAGCCTGGCCCACAGGAAATGTTTAATAAACACCATCTGTATCATCATGGATATGGGTTTTTCGGTCTGTTCCATCCCCCTTCCTTCAGGGAATCTCCTCTCCCCAGGTCTGTAAAACTCCAGCCCAAGGTTGTAAGGAAGCCAACTGCTCCCAAGCCTCAGGGATGTGCACATGACTCCATCCTAGACGATAAGAGCACCCTGTCTCCCAACCACACAATAGGTTCAAGGATGGGCACACGACTTAGTCCCAGACAATAAGGTCTCTGTTTCTGCCACAGTGATAAGCTCAGAGAAAGACATGTGACTCAGTTCTAGCCAATCAGAGCCCTCCTGTCTTCTGGCCCAAATGATAGGTTCAGGGTGTGTGACTTGACTGGGCCTTGGAGTCCTTCCATGGCTTTTGCTAGAACTTCTGAGAAAGACATTTGCCCCTCTCTGGGATGACGAGGGCTTAGGGCCAGTCAACCAAGAGCTGCCACAACTGGCTTTTCCACTAGGCAGCGAGAGCCACAGAGAATGAAGCAGGGGAAGGCGGAGCTGATGGAGAAGAGAGAACCCAGTGCTCGAGTCATAGGAGCACCTTAAGCCAGCCGACCGAGGCCAGCCCGGGGGCTGCACGTTTATTTACCTGACAGACTCTTTGCTTAAGCCAGTTGGTGTTGGGTTTCTGTCTCTTGCAACTGAAAGAGCAGTGACCAGGCATACAGGCTGCGTAGTTTTACAGCCCACTCCGATATCATGTGTAAACTGCCTAAGGGCCGGGGACTATTTTTGTAGGAATTCACCAGTTCTAAGTATAGTGTGTATAAGAAGGCACTCGAAAATCTCTCATTCTCCCCTCAGTGGATACTTCATCAACATGGATGAGCCACCTTCCAAGTCTGCCTCTTGGCCCCCTCCCCACGTCGTTTGGGGACCGAAACTAGCCTTGGACTATTGCCTTAACTCAGTCTACCTTTCCATGCATGGATGCTTCACGAATAGCCACTCCAAAAAACATTTAACCCGTCTCAATGTGTGCCAGCATCGATGGGGGTGGGGAGACTGGGATGCGGTCCCATCCCTCAGGGAGCTTGGATTCTGTTGGAAAGCGGGCGTGGGGTGTGCGTGAGCAGACAAGATCCCAAGTGACAGTAATAAAATGTCAAGTGAGATGAGTGTTATCGTCAGCCACAGTAGGGAATCTGGGAAGGAGGGAGCCGAGAGGGTGACAGGTCTGGAGCCCGCACCTGTTAGCATAATGCCCTGCAGACACAGACTGCGTTCTCTTCTTGCTACCTCCCACTCAACCTGATCCCCGAGGTGAAGAAAACCAACTTCTCCATCCTTTCCCAATCCACTGAACTTCCCCAGCACAAACACAGAAGGAAAGTAAATTACCTTGTGTCAAACTCCAATTTTCTTCAATTATGGCAGAGAGTACCGCACTGCTTACATGATTTGAGCAAGGTGCCCCTCCCCACTTCCAAAAGCAATTATGAGATTTCGTGTACCATATTGTGATTCCTTAAGGGTTCATCTGACAGGAATTTTCCTCCCCATATGGCATTTGCTGTCAGTATGGAAACAAGGCCGCCACACACTCTCAGCACAGTAAACACCACGTGATTCCAACACAAGCTGTCAGCACCTCAATTCCATGTCTCTCCCAGCTGTACAGAGGATTCCAGGCAAGAAAGCCACTCATCAGAAGCCCAGGAAGAAATAAAAGGATCAGTAATTATCTATTCGAATTCTTTTCTCAGCCTTAAATACAGATAAATGGGCCTGTCTTCTGAGGAAGCACCACCCCCAACAATAAAATCAAAATGCAACGTTTGCAGTTCCTTTGGAAATGGAGAATGAGGACATAGAAGGAAGAACATGAATTTGGGGATTGATTAAGGTGACAGGAGGAGGCGCAAATCAAAGTTCTTGATGCATCAAAGCAAACTAGAGGTGCGTGTCACTTCTGGAAAGTCCGACAATGCTGAAGCTGGAAGCACGAGGAGCTCTACAATACAGCTCCGGAGGAGACCCTTTCTGATCGGTTTCTACAGAGGCCGGCCGTGTTGTTGAAATCCAGCTTGGAAGGGCCCTGCCCACATCTCTTCTCCAAGCGTGGTCTGTTAGGATTGGTGAGGAGCAGTGTCCAGGACACAGGGCACAGCCTTTCCTCTCTGTCCCTGAATCTCTCCGTCTCCTGGGATGCTGTGCCCACAGGCACACATACACTGTCCACAAACGTACATACACACTGGCTCTTCTGGAACATGAAAATCTTGCATGGGGCCATGTGCCTCATTGGTCTTTCCCTCCAAGCCAGAAAGAGGCTGTTGATGTAAGATATGAGGGGCACCAGGCCCCCCTGCCTCAGAGTATCCACTAATCACCTAATCATTCTAGCTTTATTCTTTTGGGTCTTTCATTCATTCAGCAAACTCTCTTCCACGGTCTCCTGCCTTTTGATATTAGAAGGTTCCTTCAATTTTAAGACTGTTATTGAATTCAACACCTGGGTATGCGTGGATGAGCGAGTGGGAGGAGACATACGTCATACCCATTGGCAGATTAATGATCCAGTAACAGACTTGGACTTAACAGCTGGTGGTCAGCTGAGACCAAGAATGGGGGCGTGGTCTTTGCGATATGTGACTGTGTTTGGCCTTGGTCACAGTAACAGAGAGTCCCATGACTACAGGAAGGTGACCGGAAAGGGGAAGGGTCTAGAAAGCCCACTCTAAGCCTAGGACACTGAGTTGTGCCCTTGATCAAGGGGCAGAGTGCCCCCAGGAAGGGGCTGGGGCCTGCCCTGCACCCAGGAGGGTGGTGGGAGACATGCTTCAAAGGCAGGCTGGGCTAAGCCAGGAAAGGTCTGGACTCCAAGGCCAAGGAGACTGGAATGGACTCACTGCCCTACCACGGATCGATGATTTTAGAGCACAAATGATTGAACTGCAGTGCACAGAAAGGTGGGTGAAGATGAGGTGGGGAGTGGGGAGGCATCTACAGGGGAGGTCACCACTTTGGGAGCCACTGCTGCATGTGCAGGGAGGGTGCAGCCTGTGTGGCTGGGATCCTGCTTTGGTGGGGAGCTGGATGCAACTGGCTTTAAGAAACCATGTGTCATTTGTTCCTTCAAGGTTTTGACACTCCCAAGCATGCCTACAGCTGGCCCGGGAAGCCAGGACTGCCACACCTTCCTGCAACACACTGACCTCCAGCCATGCCTCAGGCAGAACCACTTCTTCCCAATGGACAGTCCCATTAGTAGGTTGACAGACACTGGCAGGGCCCCGACTGTGCACTGTGTCCTGGGCCCTGTCGTGGGCATCCCTGAAAGCAGATGAGGGAGGCACCACAGGCTTCACCTTTGTCCTGAGCAGTCTGCTCACTAGCCGAGGCAGGA